ATGAGCTTTATTGAAATATTTAGCCGTTTTTCGTTTTAAAATAGTCAACTTGAACTACATATATACAATTATTTGCACGCTCGACTACTTTTTGTCCGTTCGATCAACAATAAAAATGGACACGTGTATGGTCAAGATGTGGTCGAGCGTGCAAATAGTGATTGTATATATAGTTCAGGTTGCATTTTACAACAAATAATACTTTAGGTTGAAAATTCCAAAAATATATATAGTTCAGGTTGCATTTTACAACAAATAATACTTTAGGTTGAAAATTCCAAAAACACGTATAGTACAAGTTGGAAAATATTATTTACCCTTTTAACATTGTGTAACAACTAACAACGTATGCAGCACTTTGCTTTTTGGTGGATTAGTTAAAAACTTAAAATACGTTAGTTGAGTAATCACTTGAACGTTATTTCAGTCCCTTTACTGTGTGCTATATCTGTCTTTTACCGAATAAAATAAATTAAAAAACGATAAGGATAAATTGATTAGTGATAATTTCTTTTTGAGATGTTATATTCGGTTTAGATTTCGAGTAAGATTTTGAGACATTTTAAGATTGGGTTAATTGCATTTAAAATCTTAACATTTTGTGTAATTGCAAATAAAATTCAACTTTTTTAATTTGTCAAAAAAATACCAAATTTTTAATATGTATTGCAATTGTGTCTCACCCGCCGGACCGCCGCCAACCACCACCCGCCGCCGGCCAACTTTGCCGGATGTTGAAAATTTTTACATGATCTTGTAGCTCTCCTCCGTGCCGTCAACATATTCGAGTTTCACGAAAAAATTTCGACGATAAGGCTTTCAATTTTCCGGACAAAATCGTGGATCTTCAAATTTTCTCCGGCGTTTTTTGACCCATGTGAATCTGAAGGTACCGTTGAACTTCTCGCAAAGCCGCATCCACTTTCACCGAAACCGGTGACTTTTTCCGGCGACGACTTTTCCGGTCATCTTATTCAAGGTTTGATATGGCCGGACTGATTTTGAGAAACAATTTTATTCACAATTACACAAAAAGTTAAGATTTTAAATGCAATTAATCTTTTAAGATTTGAGATTTTGTAAGATTTTCAAATTTTAAAAAGAATTTTATGAAATGTTAAATCTGAAACGAGATTAATCCAATATCTTGTTGGCTAAGAGGGGGAATGTTGTGTATCACCCCGTGAACTTAACCAGTTGGTTAACGATTGTAAGTATTCGTGCTTGCAGTTATGAATTTATGCGTTTCTGAAAAAAAAAAAAAAAAACACACACACACACACACATACACAGTACACACACCCACACACACACACAAATAATAAAAACATTTAATTTAAAGTTTGCATACCTAGTCCACCCTTAATATAATATATATCTATCCTCATCTGCCCCAAATTCAGAAAAGGGGTCAAATTATAATTTTTTTAACATAAACCAAAATGGCTAACATCAACCACTCTTCTTGCTCCATTACCTTTACACTACATCACCATATATTTTAAAATTTTCAAACCACCCAATGAAAACACTCATTTCAACAATTACATGCAATCACTGTATATATATATATATATATACACACACACTAACCATCTTCAAGTTTCATATCTCCCTCACAAGCTTAACTTCCCAAAACAAGCAAATATCACAACACAAAGCTTAAAAAAGCTAATCCCAACTTTTCTCCCTCAACCCCTTCTCAGTTTCCTGATATTAACAAGGGAAAAAAAAGGGAAAAATGGAGAAAAATAAGTCGACCGCCATTGAAATTGCAGAATCAAGCAAAGAAAGCAAGGGGAAAGCACCCCTACTTGCAGCAGCAGTCGGGCACGATAGGGCAGCCGGGTACAAAAGGGGTGTCTCGATTTTCGACCTCATCTTGCGTATAAGTGCCGCTACTGCAGCTTTAGCTGCCACCATTGTTATGGGGACAACCGAGCAGACCCTTCCGTTTTTCACACAGTTCTTTCAGTTCCGGGCACAATACGATGATCTGCCGACTTTCACGTCAGTTCCCTTTTCTAGCTGGACTTACTAGTTTTAGTATAGATATAATATATATTTATTCACTAAAATGGAAAAGGAAATACATTTTCTGTACCTGAACAGGTTTTTCGTGGTGGGCATGGCTCTAGTTACGGGCTACCTTATCTTGTCTGTGCCCTTTTCCATCGTGTGCATTGCTCGGCCGGTTGCTATTGGACCTCGTTTCCTTCTCATAGTCTGTGACACAGTAAGCAAAATAAATCTACAAAGAAAATACAGAAAGAAAAATGAATATTTCTCTCTATATTATTAATACTCCCTTAAATTTGAAAATAAATTTCAACTAAAAACAAATAAGGGGTGTTTGCTACTTTCATTAGAGATTATAATCTCAAAAAGATTACTAGACTGTTCTATACAATAAGACAGTTACCCAAGAACCAGCCTAACTTAACCTATTATAAAAGCTTCAGATTTCAAGTTCAACTGCAAAGTTTTGTTCAGGTGACAAACTAGGTGAAATGAAAAATCTGAACACAACAATAATATATAGAGTGTATTTCGTAAGTATCATAAGCTAGCTTATAGCTTATTTGGTTACCTTATAATCTTTCTTTGGATAGCTTTTCAATAAGCTTTTATTTCAGCTAGCTATTAGCTAATTTTACCAAACACCTTTATCATATCAACTAGTTTTTCAGCTATAAGCTCGAAATTTACATATGAGCTACCAGCTAGCTTATCAGCTAATTTTACCAAACATAGCCGTAATAGTTAGGCAGTAAAAAAGTCGAATTCTTGAAATAGGTTCATATAACTTTCTTGCAGCTCACGGCAGTTTTGGCTACCTCGGCCGCTGGTTCATCGGCAGCCATAGTGTACTTGGCCCATAACGGGAACTCGGACGCCAATTGGCTGGCCATATGCCAACAATTTAATGACTTCTGTCAGAGGGTCAGTGGAGCTGTGGTGGCGGCTTTTGTGGCGGTGGTTCTGCTTATATTCCTGATCGTGCTTTCCGCTATGGCTCTAAGGAAAAACTGAACATGAAAATTACTGAGTGCACGTTTATCTGAAAGTGAATGTTGTATTGTCTTTCTCCTTCTTTCGATCTCTTTTTTTTTTTTCTTTCTTTCTTTCTTTTCCTTGAAGAAGTTGATTGGTTGTGTTGTTTCGTGGATGGTGAAACGGGTCTTGATATTTCCTGGAAAGACTGAAACTCGAAAGTGTATATCGGTTTTCTGTTGACATTTGCAATTCAAAATCTGTGCTTTTTTTTAGGATATCTGCAGTGAGAAATATGGGTTTTATAGATCTTGTTATACATGATAAAAGATGCAATGAGCTAATCAACAACTCAATTAATGTAATGAATAAAATGGAACAAGAAATTTGCCATAAAATTCCTTCAATTTTCACATTTTCAGCTGGTTTCTTGTGTAAAGATTACCTCGAAAAGAATTCACTTGGTCGGAAATGAAATGCTCCCATGGTCGAGTCGAGAATGTCGAATAAAAAACTAAAAATCCACCTCCCTAAAAAACTGAAAAAAATCATCTCCAAGCACCAAAATCGATCGACTGCAGCGAAATATCACCAAGAAACAAGTCCACCAAATGCTGCCTGCAAAGGCCCATCCTCCTCCTATGCAAACTCGGATGTATACAGCCCGAAAAGCCCGTTTTCCAGCCCGGAAACCTCTTTCTTTCCATCACATGAAGAGTGTAAACACACGAGGCCGATTCTCCGCAGCCCACCACAAAACAACCGCATGGTCTCGACTGGCCCACATTTCGAGCCAACGAGACCAAACACAAGCCACAGTAATTTATACCGTAAGTCAAAGCACCATCATATTTAAATTCTCGAGAAACAAGCTCCTTATTTGCTTCCTCCAGCTCGATTTCTTGGGTCGAGGGAATTTTACTCAGTTCTAAATCGAACTTCTTTTCAATCTCCCTCTCGTGAATCCTGTACTTAGCAGCTAATGTCCGAACGCACGACATTCTCACTTGGTTCGAGATAATATTCTTCACTTGGTCGAAATTGTCACACCCGTCGAACCATCTCAGCCAACGGTTGACTAATCCTGCGAACCAACTGAAAATTTGACTGTCGTCCAGCAAGATCAACACGTGGCACGTACGAGCGTGCCCTTCCTGATTTACCAACCCATACCGATTGAGGCATTTCATTACAACTTTCACTGGAGCAATAATAACATTCGTTGTGGTAACATATTCCGGTGAAGTGCTTGGGCCCGATAAAAGGGCCTGCGCTAAAGCCGTTTCAGAGGTCACATATTCTTCGGCCTGTTTTTGGAATTCGTAGTAGGCATCTTTTAGTTCCTGCGGAAGAGCAGGCTCGACTATATTCCTAGCTAAAATAATTTCTTCACTATTTTCTGGAGTTTTTTTCGCGTCACGCAAATCTTGCAGCCATATTTTGAGCAGCTCTTTGTACCAGTGATCGCTTTTCATCCCGGGTTTTCGAAAACAGGAGATTCGATGCAAAACCGAGCTTTTGTCAGCTAATTGCTCGATTTCTGATTCTTTGACTTTCTTAAGCCCGTGGGCCAGCCATTTTTTCCCGATTCTAACAGCCCCTTCATCCCAAGACTCTCGTTTTTGCTCCGCGAATAGCTTTACTTTGTCCTTCAACTTGTGAACGGCTTGTAATGCAGGACCCTCTTTCAAGCGTCTCTTGATTAACGTGCCGACAAATTTTACACCACTAGGATCACCGCACGACAAAATACCAGCCTCATTATTGTTGTCAACCTCCAAGTAAAGTTCGTTTTTCAAAAAACCTTCGATTTCGGACTTGAGAGATAAAGCTGTTTCTTTCGGGCCCGAAATGGCAAAAAATATCTCATCCATAAAACGGCAACAGTGTACCCTCACATTCGTGTCATTCCCAACATTTCCCTCCTGTACACATTTACCATTTATTTGTCTCCTAAACCAGCCACGGAGCTTTGAGCGCGTGTTATGATGCTCAACATTATTACACGCGTACGAGGTTTCGTAATGCATCGACATTCTGTATATTTCTCGATCAAACAAATCGAGGTATACATTCATTAGTATAGGAGACAGAATCCCTTCTTGAGGAAGGCCGTGTCCTTTGGGAAAACCTCCGAACTCCATATTAAGCACATTGGCATCAAACATATCTTTTAATACAGCATATAGACCAGGGTCATCTATTTTATCCTCCATCGAAGAAAAAAGTTTTCCGAGGATGCAATCATCGAGTTTTTTGTTAATAATAAACGTGAACCACCAATCGGGATTAGAAATCTCTTTACGGATATATCTCAATGCCGAGCAATGATCCCTACCACTTCTCAAACCGTGAGAAATTTTCGAAAAGTGTGGCCGGTAAACGACTTCCAAGACTATCCTGATGGCTTCTTGGACAACTCTTAGTTTCAGCTTAGGGAAAACGAGCTTTTCCTTCTTATCTTTCGACCCTCTTGTGAATATTGAGTATGTGTTGGTCTTAATATCAAATTCTCCACTGGCGAGCTCGTGGGCCATGGACTCAAAAGGCAAGTTATCATCTTTCGATGATGAATCGACATTAGAGGCCGCCCTTATGCAGCCGTACGCCTCCCTTAGTGTGTTTGGGTCTGCAATCACTTTTTTCATCAGGTCTTGGAATTTTCCGTTTCCGTATTGTTCTTTGACCTTCTTCTTTATGCGCATCTCGAGAAACCTCTTGACCTCGAGACGGGTTCTTGGCCTCGATTTTCGTACGTGATCGTCGTGAGATTCTTGTACAACGGATGCCAGATTCTTGGCCAGGGCCATTTTTCCAGTGCCTTCATCTTTGTCAACAGAATAATTCGAGGACTCGTCCAAGACGTTTGCAAGATTTTCAGCCAATGCCAATTTTCTAATTCCTTTATCCCCAGCACTATATTGGTCATGCTGTTTTTGAGTTGAGAAAAATGAAACAGGAAGATATCTTTGAACAGACCTTCCTGAATAAAAATAATCAAATACATAAAACTAAAAAGAAAGAACAAATCAGACGAAATGATGGCTTTAGATATGCAAAGAAGACAAACCAAAACCAAAACAAAAACTCGAAAAAAACCGAATAAACTTATAAAGGCAACTGAACCCAAATACTGCAAAGTACTACAGAGATGATAGAGATTGGAGCTTTACCGGCATTCGTCACACGCAGATACAATTTGGGCTCAACAGAGACGATTCTTCTAAGCAACGGGTGAGATTTTATCAGCATGGCTGCTAGCTACAGTTTTAACTAGCCTTGGGCACTCCTTTTATTCACATTTTTCTCAAGAAACTCTGAGTAAACTCAGTCGAGCTGTGTTTGATATACGTAGAGCGTGCCGTTAGTCTGTTCTGCAGATGAACTGTAAGAGACATTTTCACAAACAGTTGCAGTGCACAAAGGCACGAACTCAAAGCAACTTTGTCATCAGCGCAAATAAAACAGTTTATTATCTAGTGTCTGTTGTCAATTCAAAATATTTATTGACTTTCCGATGGCCCATGGATCTAGCCCAAGACTCGAAAGCCCACATAAGCCCAAATTTGAGGCTTTTTATTGGAGATTGGGCTTTAATTAATTATGTATTTACGAAAGGTTAACCTGTTTTATACTGAATTCTGGTTGGTTCATGATTGTGCACATCTAATCTCACATAAGGTATGACACAAAATATATATATATATATATATATATATATATATATATATATATATATATATTACATTTATTTTTATTTTTTTTTGAATACTGAATTATGCTGTAAAACTAAAATCTAGAGGTGGTGATGGGACAAAGATGTCACCCGGGCTCCCTCGACTCGGACGGCCACCGTACCTGCAAGAACTCAAAGTCCGGGACCCCGGGAGGGGTGCCCGGCTTTGGGCCTCCGATGCTTAAGTCAGTACTGTATTCATATGTGAATGCAAAGAGAAGGGAGAGAGTGTAGAGAGAGAGAGTAGTAGTGGAATGAGGAGAGAATGTAGGAAATGAATACCTTAGCCCCCTTTTATAGGGGGAGTGTACCTTATAGTCCAAATTGGGTTTGGCCTAAGTTGGGCTTGACCCATATTATCATATCAAGTGTCTTAGCCCATGTATGGGCGTATTCTTCAATATATATCCATAAAAATCGGTCGGGTATGACATGTTATATCAAATACTACCGGTCGAGCCGTCAATACTAGTTGTGGCTATATCAGGTGGCCAAATGTCGAGCCGGTTCATGGCTCGTAACCGACCAGGCTATTCTACTTGAACCGGCCCGACCCGGCGGGTCATTGAACCGGTTTTTTATTTTTAAAAAAATTTAAAAAATAAAATAATGAGTTGTGAACCGCCTTACAACCCGCGGTCCGACCCGGCCTAGCTTGGACCACCGAGACCAAAAAAGAGAAATGAAGAACCGGAACCGGCTCGCATGGCCAAGGTTCTGGTTCAACGAACTGCAGAAATCCGGGCCGGGTCGGAACCAACCAGAATCTATAAACACATCTACCTATAAATGTAATATGTAACTACATTAATGCCTAAATAAGTTACCATATATATTCAACTTCCATCTCCCCCTTTGTGAACTTGATTAAGAGAGAGAAAAGAAAAATAATAACTTATTCATTTATTAATTCCTTAATTCACGCAACTTGTACATTGTAATTCACGCAGCTGCCAGGTGGTATATTTTGAATTTATGTTAGTATATATTCAATATATGTGCAATAAAAAACATGTCTTCCACAAAAAAAAATTATATATAAATATATTATAACATTTACTTATATTCCATATAGAAATAAATCTTCTAATTTATTGAACATATATTGAACATATGCTCCATATACACACAACATATGTTGAACAGTAAAAAATTATGTCTTCTTTTTTTTTTACTGGAAATACACGCAAAAATATACCGAAAAAAACGAGGACGTGAAATTTTATACCGAAAAAATTATGTCTTCTAATGTACCGAAATTTTGGGTGGGAATTATTACCTGACATACACCAAAAATATACTTCAAATATACTAAAAATGTGTAACAGGTGCAGGAAGCCAGTGACAAAGTGTATAACATAGAAAGAGAAAAGATACTTCGAATAGAGAGAAAAAGTTACCTCGAATATACCCAACATATAACCAGATAACCAGAGAAAAGTTACTTGGGATATACCCAACATATGACTCAATCAGAAACCCCAAAATCAGAAAAAAAAAAAAATCCAAAATAAAAGAAACAAAATTTGCCCTATTTCTCCAGAAAGAAGTATCACTAACACTCCAAAAAGAAATCCAAAAAAAAAAAAATTCCAAAAAGAAAAAAAATGAAAATACCACTGAATTCCTGCAACAATCTTCAACCTCCTTTTCCTTTCCCATTTCTCCACCACCACCGCACACCCCTCCGACATCTCCCTCTCTTTCTCCACCAACTTCCCCTCTTTTCCCTCTCTCAAACTCGCCTACGCCGCCACCTCCCCTCCGCTCACCGTCACTCTCCAATCGGGCTCCGGCCTCTTCGGTTCCCCGAAGAACTCTCCCCTCGTCATCTCCGCTCACTTTTCGGAGGAGATGGTGAACGTGTGGTTGAGTGATTTTCAGAGGAGATAGAAGAGGCTGCGAATTTCAAAATCTGGTGCTTCCCGTCGAGCAATTTCACGAGCACCTGGTGATTTTCATATTTTTGAGCTTCCATGGACACAATTCTCAAGCTTTAGATGAAAAGGCACTGCAAATTGTTGGTTTTTTTTCTTTGAAGTATACGAAAAGGAGAAGTTGAAGATAACAATCACATTCTGATACTTCTATGTAGTTGACAATTGAAAAGGAATTAATTATCTCAATTAATAATAATTGATTCGTTTCCATATTTAAATCATAATCAATAACTTATAAAATTAGGTATATGTGTAAATATGTTGGGGTGATTTTATATATATATAAATAAATATTAATTGGGTATAGATATGTAATATAAAATATATATGATAGTATGGGGTGTAAATTCCTCAAAGATTAACCTGTTTTATACTGAATTCTGGTTGGTTCATGATTGTGCACATCTAATCTCACATAAGGTATGACACAAAATATATATATATATATATATATATATATATATATATTACATTTATTTTTATTTTTTTTTGAATACTGAATTATGCTGTAAAACTAAAATCTAGAGGTGGCCAAATGCCGAGCCGGTTCATGGCTCGTAACCGACCAGACTATTCTACTTGAACCGGCCCGACCCGACGGGTCATTGAACCGGTTTTTTATTCTTAAAAAAATTTAAAAAATAAAATAATGAGTTGTGAACTGCCTTACAACCCGCGGTCTGACCCGGCCTAGCTTGGACCACCGGGACCAAAAAAGAGAAATGAAGAACCGGAACCGGCTCGCATGGCCAAGGTTCTGGTTCAACGAACTGCAGAAATCCGGGCCGGGTCGGAACCGGCCATAACTAAAATAAAATCCCGTGTTTGTTGACTTGTAAAGCGTCGCAGGAACACGAGACACAGATATAATGAAAGTTCCTTTACTTTTTCTGTTGGGAAAAAAAAAAAAAAAAAAAAAAAAAAAAAGAAAGTCAAATAAAAAAAAAAAAAAATCTTCAAATTACCAACTCAAGCTGTCACACACACCAACAATATGATTGACTTTATCTATCTTTATATAAACAATAAAACTTCTACTAAAAAAATGCCTCCAACTCATAGCGTCATAAGCGTGTATGAGAAAATATATTGTACTATACCTCTTTAAATGCACTTCATAGACAATTTCCTCCATAAGAAAATTAATACATATAAAAAAATTTCTAGCTATATGAAGCCAGCATTGTATTTCTTCTTCTTCTTCTTCGTTCTGATCATGTTGTCTTCGTCACTTGCGACAACCAATCAACGGAAGCCAAAGCCGCCACATAAGCTGTATCGGGCACCTCATTATCACCCGAAAAGGGGAAAAACCGGACCTTCGCCACCGTCTCCACTGCCGAGTAAGGGCCCACGTCCCTGGGTGGTGCACCCGCCACCTCCACCACCCGACACGTATTGCCGCTAGTCTCGTATTTGGTTGAAAAAAAAAAAAATTAACATCATTTGTCGTAGGTATGTTATGTCATGAGCGAGATTTTAGTTTTTACTGCAATATAAAGAAAGATTGAGGGCTCATCTGCAAAACTGGTGCAAGAAAATGAAAATGCGATTCAGAAAAGCACTTATGAGATCGGTTGTAAATGTCCTGATGCAGAAAAAAGAGAGTGCATGACCAAATAAATTTCCATTTTTCAAACTTATGTACCCTCACTACAAAAAAAAAAAAAAAAAAGTTCTAGTGAAGAATTTTTTTGTCACTGTATCTACAATTATTGTCCCCATATCTACAATTGTTGTTTTGTAGATATAGTGACAACAATTGTAGATATACTGACAGTAGATATATTGACGATATAATGACAATTTTTTTTTGCACTAGAACTCTATTTTTTTTGTAGTGTGTATAGAGTGTGATTCTTAAAGTTAAGGACTCACAATTATTCTTGCCCTTTAGAAATTGTTGTGTTATGGAGCCTATAAAATGTAAAAAGTAATTGAGTTTCATTAATGGATGTGGGTCCCACAATTATAATTTATTAAACCAATTTGGTCAATTTGCAGCTCAATATGTGTGAAGATTCTTCTGCCATTTGGCCACATCTATATCTATATCTATATAATGGATCAATCCTTATTGCCATAATTAGCATGATTTTGGGCGGAAAATTTTTTCGTCTATTTTTGGCATTTATTTAATATTTATTTATTAGCAAATCTTATGTATGAAAAAACATAATTTATTTTTATGCATTCAGTGACTACTGTTCATCAACTACAAATTGGCTTAAATTGAAATTATGACAGTAGGTTTATTAGATATATTTTCAATAAAATCTTATATTAATTCATTGAAAAATTGAAAAAATTATTATGGAAATTAATTTGATTAAATATATTTAGGTATTAATTTAATGAATTATATTCAAAATGTTTAATAAAATAATTAAAATAACTATGTTTATATCATACTAACTTAATAAATAATTTAAAATAATAATAAAAGTTTCTGAAATGTAGTCAATTTAATTATAAAATGGTACATCCCATTGAATATATCATATGTAGTGATAATACCATTGAAAATTTAAATATTATACTGACAAATATAAAATTTGATGGTCGGGTGCAATTCA